TTATCTGAATGAACTCTAAATTCTTACAAAAGTCCTTAAATAGTTCATAGGGTTTCTCAGGGTTTATTTCTTTCTTGCATACTTTTCTTTACACGTCATCTTATCGTATTATAAATTGATTTCATTTGTAAATCCAATGTAAATCTTTTTGAAATTATGGAAAAATTCATGGGAGTAACAGATTAAATAGTTCATCATGTTGGTTATGAATTTATTTTTCTTTTTTGTTGTTGCTTAAAAACCATTTTCTTAAAACCTTTGTAAACAATAAATATTCCTTATTGTTCATAACAAACATTTTGATCAATTAGTATTCATATATTTCATTTACTTTATCACAATCTTTCTCTTCTGAAATACCACTATATTGAATTTTTACTCTTTCTTCTACTACCTCATTTGTTATATCATTTGTTTTACATAAATCTTTTTCTAATTGTTTTTGTTTCTCACGTTCTTCTTGTATATGTTGAATTTTTTCATCATCCATAGCTTTTTGAGTCACTTCCTTGAATTTATCTAAATCATTTTGCTCTTGTTCACCAAGAATCATTGTTTCAATACCTTCATGAGACAATTCTTTTTCTGGAAATTCTGTTCCTACTGTTAGTCTATTTGCTTCTTCTTTCTTATTTATAAACCTGGAAGTGACTCTGCTTGAACTTAATCCTGGTTGTTTTGGTGAAATAGGAATATAAGGAAGGACAGTTATTTGTACTGGTGTCTGACTACTACCTTCTGTTTGTTGAGGTGTCTCATTATTCTTAGAACCAATTATTTCATTAGGATGATTTACTGATTGAATTTCTTCTTTTGTACTTTTTTGTGACTCAGTGCTTAATTGAATAGTTCTTCTAGAGTCACAAATAAATCCAGGCTTTTTTGAAATAAAAGACCCAGGTCTTTTTGATTGATTTGTACAAGTGATTAATGGTGATAATTGCTTATTATTTACACTTTGGTCTTCTTGTTCAACACTTGATAGTCTTTCTTTAAACTGTTGTTGTTCATTAGTTACACAGATTGATCCTAAAGTGTTCCTTTGTCCAAAAACAACTTTACTAACTCTTGGAGCAAAGAGTTGTGTTCTTTGAGTAGTTGAAGTACTTTGTCTTGAGAATTGATGCTCTCCTATATCTATTTTTTGTTTTGTGTCTTGACTTGGTTCAGAGTTTATTGATGTAGTTGTTGACATTTCATTAATGGATGTACTATCATTAGACTTATTAGGCTCTGTTATTTCTTGAACTTGAGTATTATCAAATAAATTTTTCATTGAAACAGGAGTAACTTTATCATCAGATATTTTTTTATTTTTTCGTATTTGGGTATGAACAAGTGAACCATTTTCATTAACTTCTATTTGGTTAAAAAGTTTATTAGACAATCTATTTTGAGGTTTTTTTGTTCTTTGTTGAATCATAAAATCTGCCATTGAATTAGTAGTTTCCGGTGTTTCATCAACCGGAACAATATTAATAGTATTATGAATTTCTTGTTTCTCTGGTATTTTCATTGCTAAAGTACTTGAGTTAGGTGCTTGAATTGGAGTTTCCGTTGATGGAGACTGAGTTAGAGTAGAAAGATTTATTTGTTGAGGTTTTCTTTCACCTAAGAAGTTTGCTCGTTTTGTTACTACAGGATCAATATCTTGAGGAAACAAACTAGTGAATGACAAAATACAAAATCGAATAAAATCAATGCACAACGAATATTCATTCTTTGAATCACCATTTAATGGAAGTTGATCAAATTCACTTAAAGTCATAAGATTTGTTGATAAACAAACAGAGAGATTTTTTGCGTTCATTGCATTAATTTCTGAATGACAAACAATTTTATAACACAATTTCATTGTTTCTTTAAATACTGTCATATGTTCAGGAGGAAGACATTGAATTAATTCTTTAATTTCATTAACTATTAACTTTGAATCTGTTTGAGTATCAATAATTTCAATCCATTTTTGAAATATCTTCTTTGTAGTTGTTCTATCAAAAATGTGAATAGGTAAATTTCTGAGGAATTTCTTAAATACACTTGCAACAACATCACATGGTATTTCATTAAAATTTGTTACACTCATTCTCATACATAATTCTTCTATTTGTCTTATTGATGCATTAGAACTCTCACGAAATATTCCTTTACAAAAACATCCTTTATTATACATGCATTCAAAAATAATTACAAGTGCCTTTGGAAGTTGGTCCATAGTTCTATTTTCCGATATTAATATCTCTTTAAGTGTTCTTCCAGTATAAGGAATAAAATTCCCAATAGCTTTAGATGAATCAATAGATTCTTGAACCAATTTTTCTAAATCAGAAATAAAAGGATTGTCACTGAAAAATGTATTTCCAAGACTAAAGAATATTTCAAATGTCTTAAAGAAATCAAGAAAGAAATTGGGTGTCATAACAGATAAATGTTGATTAAGTGAATGAAGTCGTGAAAATAATTGTTCTTCTTGAATTCCATCTTTAGACATTAATATTTGAAGGTCTGTTATATTACTAAAAAGTTCTGTCGTAACTAAGGATGTTTGTTTAAAATGGTCAGAAAATAATTCAAAGTCATTAGCAATATATCTCAGAGCACTAATAAATTGGGTTAACATTTTTGTGTCTATACAAATCATTATTTTATGGAGTTAATAATCAATAAATACTAATAAAAATACAAACTTAACCACCCATTATTATTTTTATATAACAACTTCTCTAACTCTTGTGTACGATGGTTAACTTCTTCATTTATTCTTTTAAATAGTGTTGAGATCGTATTAGAAAATGATTGTTCTGACGTCCAAAAAGATTCAACCTCATCAAGCTCTTTTCTTTTTTCTTCTATGTTTTTAGTAAGTGCCACTTCGTTCCAAGTCATTAATTAAAATGTATGAATAACTCATTTTTAAGTTCTTTTTTTATTAAAAAGAAGTAAATAAAATAAGGTTATTGATAAAATTACCCTTCTGATTTATTAACAAAACAATTTAAAAATGCCTTGAAAGTAATTAAATTAAAGAGGGATGTATTGTGCTTGGTGATGGTTTCGAGTTAAAAAATATGCTATTCCCAATAAAAACGTACATCCAATTAAAATTACAATGACAATAGTAAGAAAATGATTTTGATTTGATTGATTGATTTGATGAGAAATGATATTTTCTTCTTCATTTATTTTATTTAGACTTATCTTTGGTTTATTTAAACGTGAACGGACTGGTGCTCCAATATGAATTTCATCATCCCTTTTCTTTCCTATTTCTTTTTCTTTAAAGACTAATCTAGCTTTACCAAAAGTTTCTTTCTTATATTCAGATAATTGTACAATGACTGAATGCCCTTCTTTAATTGAAGGAGTATAAGTATATATCTTTCCTCCTGGACAATTTCTTTGTTTTAATGCGAGACACTTTCCATCACAAGAATCAACCAGAGTCAAATATGTGTCTACCTGAGACCCACATGTCATCATAGTTATTTCATGATTCGGATGTACAGTAACTCCAAAAAATGCTGTACTTAATTCATCTCGAGTAGATAAACATGGATTAATAAATAAGGGGTATTGAGCAAATGGAATTGAGAATATAGTATATGGAATATAGGGAATATGAACAGCTCCATTACAAGCTTCTTTTGCCGATTTTTTTGTTGTCCTTTGGAAGTGAATATCATAACGGTCTCCATCTGTTTCAACAAATAAAAATATGGGAGAGTATGTCTTTGATGGGTTTAAAATAATAATAGAACCTACTCCATCTCTGCAAGACCTTAAATATCCTTCTTCTATTTTATCCTCATTACAAGATGAAAAGAGATGAAAAGTAGTTGGTTTCGTAGTACGTTTACTACAAGTATCAATTATATATCGTTCTCCGGGATGTACAGAAGCTATTCGATGCCACTGACCTTTCTTTTGAACATTATTAATTATATCAGTTGTTTTAACAACTACATTTTGTGTTAATGGGAAAATAACTTCATCAGCTTTTTGACAATTAGAGGTAGTGTTTATTAATGGCTTAAATTGTAAAAATAAATGACTTTGAACTTCTATATTATTAAGAAATTCATATGTAGCAAGAAAAACATGACCATTTGGTGGTACATTAAATGTTATATTTGAAGTTCTTAATGAGGTAGTTAATTGTGCAACACATCCCATTGAAGATATTGATGTTGGACATTCACTAGATACCCTTAAATGCATTTTATGCAAAACATAAACATATTTGGCATGGTTAGTTACTATATTTGAAGTACCAGTTACTTGTATTTGAAGGGGTACATTTCTTTTATTTTCTATTCTGTACCACGTTGTTACTCTGTTCTCTCGGTCTCCACACCCAGGATATGACATTATTAACTCTTGTGTAAGTGGTTGTTGAATAAAACTAAATCTGTTGTCGTCATTATAAAATTCCAAAGGTATTGCCTGATTACATGTGTTTGCAAGTGAAAGATGAACTAAGACTATCCAGAATAGCATAGAACAATATAAGTTCATGAAAAAAAAAAGAAAAAACTATATTTTTCAAATAACATAATTTATATAACAAAAAAATAATTGAAATTTTGGTATTAATGAGAAAAAATATGAAATGAAGTAGAACTTGAAATTTGTGAGGTTTTTTCTCTTTTTGATGAAGAGATAAAACTTTGGTATTGGTAAAAGAAGATATTGAGGTTTGAAATAAAAAGAAAAAAGAAGAACTAAGAAAGTCAATTTATTATGGCGTTTGTTAATTGTATTTTTATTCTTTTTAGAATAGAAATTTATTTTGTTTAGTCAACAACCAAAAGATACAAGTATGTTTGATCAAAAAGATTCTCCAAACCGATTAGTTTGTGATGATATTCCTGCAGATAAAGTTGGAGATAGTATTTGTACAGTTTATATTTCCGTCAACAAATCTACTGAACTCGAGTTATTCAGAGGAGAAACAATTCTTCTTAAAGGAAAAAGAAGAAAAGAAACTGTTTGTTTAGTTGAAGTGTTAGAAGATTATCCTGATAATCATATTCAAACGTCTCGTGTTACTCGTAATAATTTGCACGTTAAATTAGGGGATGTTATAACGATTCATAAACTTGAAGACGTTCCAAATGCACAAGCCATTCATGTACTTCCTTATATTGATACTATTGAAGGACTAACAGGAGATTTATTTGATCCATTCCTTAGACCTTATTTTGCTAATGGATATATCCCAGTTACTCAAGGTGATGTTATTCAATGTCATGGAGGAATGAGAACTGTTGAATTTAAAGTTGTAGAATTAACTCCAGGTCCATATTGTTTAGTTACTTCAGAAACTGAAATTCATTGTGAAGGAGAACCACTTGAAAGAGAAGAAGAAGGAGGACCTAATGATATTGGGTATGATGATATTGGAGGTTGTAGACAACAATTAAACAAGATCAGAGAGATGGTTGAATTACCATTAAGACATCCACAATTATTTAAAAATATTGGTATTAAACCACCACGTGGTATTTTATTATATGGACCACCAGGATGTGGTAAGACAATG